ATGCCTTCTTGAAGTTCGTATAGATGACGTCAACCTTACCATCTTCATCCAGCTACTTAGCTAAAAATGGCCATTCCAGTTTTTCTCGTCTTTTCCGACAATATTATCTGCTTAATGCTATATACATCCTAGAAGCCATCAGGCGATAATTCAGTGAGTTTAAAGAAGAGCTTTTTGGACGCATATTTGGAAAATTTGTCCGGCCGACGTTAGAATAGTGCTTTCAGATGTGGTACCCCTAGATTAATAAGTGTTACGTCCTGCTTGTGAAATTTCAACAAGTGGTGAGCAAACCAGTCGGCAGATTGGAATTCCCACCCTATGAGAGTCGACTGGAGAGCCTCAAACGTTGTTCTTTCTCTTCTAGGCGATAAAGGCGATAAGATGATGACATTCAAACTCGTGGGAGAAGTACACTGTACACTCAGATGGCCGATTTTTTTGCATTCACAAAAACAACTTACTGTCGCGGTCACCAATACAAACTAAAGAAGTGTTATGCAAAACTTGAGGAACAGGCCAACTTTATTTCCCACCGGATGAAGACTGAAACAAACTACCCCCGTTGTTTCTTATTGAAAGCGGGCAGACAATAAAAGAAGATTTGATAAAACTTAACTTGGTGGCCATACATTATGTAGACATAAATGATTGCTATAGTGTACCCGAACGGCTATGTAACATATACATTCTTTGTCAGAATCTATCCGTAAATAGCGTTATCAAAGGCTCTGCCTACCTGCCTTATGCATACTGAATTATAAATAGAACGTTGCGACAGGGTACTGATATGATATATGGAAAACCAATACAAGCGAACATGCGAGTCCCAGGAAGTAATTGAGAAGAAGACGATTCGATCGCTGGGACAATACTTTTATTTGTCCGACGTTTCGAAATCCGTCGCCGATTCGTCATCAGAGACATAGTCAAAGAGCAAAAGCAGATAGGGTGTCGTATGCATACGCCACTCTATCCGACGTAGTCGTGCTACCCTTCCCGATACTGCTGTATCTTCTGTGCAACTTGTGCGATAATTCGAACCTTTGAGGCTTTTGTGATTTGTTTATAAATAACGAGAGCTTTGCAAATTCACAAGTATGGGAGAAGGAAATCGTAGAGTAGTTTTGTCCTGATCATTTGCGTAAAATATGAGTAGAATTCATACAAATTATATATTTTTTCAAGGATTGGCTGATTTTCGATCCTAAATGATTATCTTGTACTTTGAATGAACCACTTCTTTTAAATATCCATCTACCGCGGCAGTATAAATTCGCTGACATCGCTGCTTCTGACAGATCTACAGGAGTATAATGGCAAGCGCAGTCCGACAAAATTTTCACGAGGAATGTGAAGCAGGCATTAACAAGCAAATAAACATGGAGCTTTATGCCAGCTACGTATACATGGCCGCGGCGAACCATTTCGATCGGGATGACGTCGCTTTACCTGGCTTCCGAAAATTCTTTTTGAAATCCTCGGAAGAGGAGCGGGAGCATGCACTTAAGGTATAAGGTCATTCGTTTTTACCCTGTTAAAGCTTATGAAATACCAAAACAAACGTGGCGGCCGTATTGTGCTGCAGGACATAGCCAAACCTGCCGTTACGGAATGGGCATCCGGCCGGGAAGCTATGGAGACAGCTCTCAAACTTGAACGGGAAGTGAATGAGTCGCTGCTAGAACTGCACAGAATTGCGCAGAAAAACGATGATGCCCAATTTTGTGACTTTTTGGAATGTGAGTCCTCTCCCCTCTTTCTTTGTGTGAAAGTGTTTTTGCTGATTTACAACGATCCTTTATCGGTAGGACTCAGATTAACCTAATTAGTTTCCGCCGGCTTATTTTTCCGTTAGAATAATGGATGTTAGCATACATCAGCCCTTCCTCGACGTGAAAATCGCTTACATAGGCGCTAAGATCCGTTTAGATTTTTGCAGGCGCCATGCACCACGAACTACATACATCAAGGGCAAGAATTGTTGAAATCCGGGCGTAGTGTTTTGTAACCCCGATTATCCAACTGATCATAAGGATACTTACAAGATTCTCGCTGAAATACCGACTTATTATTGTCCTTTTTCCTACTTCTGCCCTAGTTTTATAAAGAAGAAATACCTCACTGGTATATATAAGATTTTCCCCGTTACCTGTTATAATTAAACAATCTTAACACTTTTTAGCTGAATATCTTGAAGAGCAAGTCGAATCCATCAGAGAGATATCTGGGTATGTCACCAACCTCCGAAGAGTCGGTCCTGGTCTTGGAGAATACATGTTCGACAAGGAGACGCTTCATGGCGAAGATGACTAATCAGGGAAGCCTAATCGTTGGCTAGAATTCTCATTACTGTTTAAACTATCACGCTGGCTTATTTCCCCCTCATTTTACAGAACATCTTTTTCAATATGACTTTTCATAAAACTGCATCCTTTTGAAGTTGCAAAAATTCCTACCAGAGAATTCAGATGAATAGTTGGCGAGCGTAGGCAAACTCAATAAAATAACGTCGGGCCTGTACGTTTATATGGGAGCAGATTGCAACCCAAACATGCGGTGAAGAAGGCTGGCTTGGCTGATTAGGTGGCGGGGACGGTTTGGTAGAGCCAGGATAGGGGAAGGAGGAACGGACGGAGGTTGCAGGTATTTGTCTGCAATGGTCGCTTCTGCTGTTGTTAGCAGTTGCTGAGTCAACGACCTGGCACAGGACCTTATAAATCACCAGAGGGCTTGATTGGGGTCTACACGATGTCAGAACTCAACAATGTGCGTGAGAATAGCGCCGTTTATGCACCTGACTTCACTTTTCTCAGCCATGCCGGCATTTATTCTTTTGGATAAGCGCCCGACTCTTGCGACTAACCTGCTCCACAGCAGCAAGTAAATTAATATATGCATATGGAGGTGGTCCTGACCTTCCCCATGCAAGACCGAGTAGGTTGAGAATAATACCCGAACTTTCGTTGCTGGGGAGGTTCGTGATACGGCTTGGTCAGGGCGTTTTCGTGGATGTTCATTCGCCGCATCCGCATGAAAGAGTTTAGGGAATAGAGTTTTCCTATCCGCAGTAAATTTGGCGGGTTTTGCTTGTCTCACAGCCATATTCCTTGTAATTTATCTCCCAGGATATGCGTTCACACGAAGCAGGTCCTGGACCTTCCTAAGCTCTTCCTCAATACTGTCCGCCGAACGAATTTTTTTAGCCCTTCGTGTCAAGCAACGAAGTAGTTTAGCTTTCTGTACGAAACTGCTCAGGTTCGTATTTTGTTCAGATTAGGTTTTCTTTCGACAAAATCTCCTTCGGAGGCCAGAGTCAGGCCTCCGACTTAGGAGGACAAAAGGAACGAATGTGCTTGTTTGGCAGCATTTAAGCGTACCTCTACATCGGTTGCTGTAGCGATCGTTCACCACTTTCGCGCGATTCAGGCTTCGATGTAGTCGCCTGAAGCTAATCAGACACGTAACACTTTTATGGCAGGGTTTTATTTCGTTTGCAAATACACATTTAAAAAGGTCATAGGGAGAAAGCGGAAAATCTAGGGGGATGCGGCAATTTGGTCGCGGTTTACTGCTTCCAGTCTGTTCATGAGTTCCATTCGGGCTGTAAAAAAAACACGAAAAAGGGTGATTGCAGTGATTTTCTACACTTGAGAAAAGCAAGTAACGATAACAGAGTGCGGTTGATGCATCGGCGTCTCCTGTCTGAATAATTTCGCTTCCAATGTTTGCTTACCTCCACACTGCGGTTGTCCTGCAGATCGCATAGACACAAACTACAAAATCAGCATCTCTGCAGCTCTATCACACAAATACGGCTAGTTAATTGTAAGAATACGCAAAGCCAGTATACGTGTCAACTATTCACAAAGGAACATGACTGAGTACCGGTATTTGGAAAAATGAGACAGTGCCTTATCGAGTTCAAAAATAAGAACAAATGATGCAAATCAGTTGAGCATGAGAGGCTACACAGTTTGAAACAAGCTACACACGCATAAA